ATGCACAAAAACAAGACAGAGCAAAACAAAGCAACAAAAGAAAACAAAACAACAATAACAACAAAAAGCCAATGACAAAAAAAGAAAAGCCTGTAGTTAGTTCAAGGACTGTTTGGTGGCCTTTAGGAATATTTTTCGGTAGGATCTGATGGGGTGCCAAGCCCTGGCCCCAAAGTCTGTTTTTGGTGTTCCCTGGGGACTTCGTTGCTCTTTTCTCCTTGCTGTTCTGTTCCACACCTTTAGTGTTTTGCCTAGGTGTGGTGGAATCAGTTCGAGCGGAATTCCCACTCTGTGTCTCCAATGTTGTCCCTTGTAGGGCTATGGGTCAGTGAGGGATGTCGTGTCTCATGGTAGGGCTGGCCATAATACAAAAACCAAAACAAACTTTAAAGGGGTCAAAATGGAAATCCGATTATAAGGTTTTACATTTTAACCTAACTACATCTGCCATCAACTTTACAAAGCTCTCTGATAGCAAGACTATTCACATCCCTTGACTATGGTCTGAGGGGATACACTGGCTTAATCCATGTAGGGATACTGCATTGGACTTTGGGCTTACACTGTCCATAGCCTTCTGCAAACAGAGTGGTCACAATTTAAGCGACAAGGTAAACCAGAAATAAGAGAAATGAATGTAAGATATGCCTTCTCCGTGTAGTGAGCTACAAAGCCCAGAGTAAGCACTTCTGCATTGTGATGTTAAAAATATAAAGCCGCCAAAAGAGTACAGATAGATGTTGAGCACCCAGCTTCAGGAATTGCTGACACCACCTAACAAAATGTTTACTAGTGAAAGCCGTCTTATACAGTCATTAGTGTGGTGTCTCTATAAGCCAGATGGAATCTGCCACTGCCACCCCTGATAAACATGAATTGTATTTATAGTACAACTGGTTCAGATTCCATAACTTGTAAAAGTTGTCATAATATTTCCTTTGCTGTGAGACTGTTTCCTGAGAGGGGAGTTAATGAATATAAATAGGTTTTTTTTAATTTTCTAAGGAAAGAATTGAATTCTATTACAAAATGTAAACCTGGATTCTGGGATGAGTTTACTTGAGGGGTTAGTGTTTATATATAGTACGACTGCCTGTTATACAGACATATTATAGATCTTTTTTGGGAGTGTGGATTCCTGCCTGTGTCATTTATAACTTAGTGAATATGGGCAAATTTTTTACCTTTCTGCTTAAACTTCCGCATTTGTAAGTGTGAGCAGTGGAATTTTTAAAGGATTATTATAAAAATAAAAATGAGACCATCCATGGGCGTTCTGAGCACAGTATGTGCTAAATATTAGCAACTAAAATTACGAATCATCTTTTGGAATGAGAAGGAGGGCAATCCTTGAGCCTTATGAATACTGTTGCCAGCACTTCATGTTGTGAGTAGAAGTTACGGTGCGGCAAAGCATGCAGTGCTCTGAGGGTGCAGTCATCTTTGTTAAAAGTGAGGGGGTATAAGGACCAAACAGAGGGAAGGGAG